TCACCTTTGATATGGTGAAACTAAATGATCCGGTGTTGTGAAGTAAAAGTGGACGTAAAGTAATTGAAGTGAAGTATTTCTGGACATAAAATAGTGCCAATGAAAAATGACTCTAAATCAAAAATATTGCATAATGGAACGAAGCTCGACTCTTTCCCATATTTTCATATTATTCATGTTTTACAGGGTTACTTATATTAAGTTTCCACCTCTAGAAAAAATTCTATATTTTTTAATGGAATAAAGAAAACCTCAGGATTAAAAAAAACTACAGGCTTTTGCCTACCTCATCTTAAATATAGCTTTAGGAACTTATTTCCAAATGAACGACATCACTTTTTTGATGTCTTATTATTTCATGTCCACAAATACTTCACAGACACAAATATTTCACCTTTGATATGGTGAAACTAAATGATCCGGTGTTGTGAAGTAAAAGTGGACGTAAAGTAATTGAAGTGAAGTATTTCTGGACAAAATAGTACCAATGAAAAATGACTAAATCAAAAATATTGCTTAATGGAACGAAGCTCGACTATTTTCCATATTTTCATATTATTCATGTTTTACAGGGTTACTTATATTAAGTTTCAACCTCTAGAAAAAATTATATTTTTTTAATGGAATAAAGAAAACCTCTAAGGATTAAAAAAAACTATAGGCTTTTGCCTACCTCATCTTAAATATAGCTTTAGGAACTTATTTCCAAATGAAAGACATCTCTTTTTTGATGTCTTATTATTTCATGTCCACAAATACTTCACAGACACAAATATTTCACCTTTGATACGGTGAAACTAAATGATCCAGTGTTGTGAAGTAAAAGTGGACGTAAAGTAATTGAAGTGAAGTATTTCTGGACATAAAATAGTACCACTGAAAAATGATTCTAAATCAAAAATATTGCTTAATGAAATGAAGCACGACTTTTAAGATCAACAGAAAAATGTAATACGCATCTTGACCAAAACCTACACATTGCGTAAAATTCATGTTTTTCCAAGTTATTGTGAAGTTACATCGATTAATCCTGTTGTAGACTGACAGGATGTTGAACGAGGAGAAATCCGCGGACGACGCCTTAAGGCAACAATTCAAAGAGAAGTGGACAAGGACCCCCTCTGACAAATTAACCGGTACATTCATTTCCAACGCGGCCAAATACAGGCAGATCATTAACAACGCTGTCCAAGCCGATAAGGTTGTCCGTGACAAGTTCGAGACCCACAAGTACTTCATGGAACTGCTGAGCGCCGGTCCCGGTTCCATAGAGGCAGCTCTGCCCAGCGGAACTTCCGGAAATGTGGCCGATAGTTCGTCTGCGGCTACTTTGAGACAACTTATGGAGGAAGTAAGCGCTTGTTCGTCGTTTTTTTGAGACGATAGTTAAGTTTATTTTTTCAGGTTGAAACGGTGAAAGCGGAGAGGGAAGCGATCGAGTCCGAGTTGAAAAGCGCCACCACCGACATGAAGGATAAGTTCCTCTCGGCTTTGGCTAAGGACGGGGCTATAAACGAACCGGCTATTTCTTTTGAAATTTTAGGTCAGACGTACGGTTCCTTGCAGAAACAAGTCTCTGAGAGTATTGAGAAGCAGACTTTGCTGATTAACAGAATTAAGGTAAGGTCAAATATGTTTCAAAATTTTACAACTTTTATGGAATATTTTCGTCTGAAAGTTCTGAAACATTTATTGTAAACAGGTTGATTCAGAACTTGTACAAAAAAAATGTTTTTGACACTAACTACTAAAAAACTATTGTAAACACTATTGCAACGACGATTGTAAAACTGATCTGCAACGTTTATTGTAAGGTTGATTCAGAACTTATACAAAAAAAATGTTTTAATGTACAAGGGATTCTTACAAATACAATTTTGTAAAAAAAAATCAAAAAAGACTGTGAAAATGATTTAAAAATATACTTCTGCATGGCACTGGAAACTGATCCAGTGTAAAACCTACACAAGGCAAAGCATGCAGATGATGACCAACATGGTGGCAAAGTGTAATAACATTAATTTGTGGTTTTAATTAATAAAATAATTTGACACTCGATGTTACAGCAACTGTTCAAAATTTTGTCCACTGACATGTAAAAACATTTGGGTCTGCCTTACTCAGTTTCTACGAACTAATACAAATGTTGTCTTGCTACTAAAAACCTATTGTAAATACTATTGCAATGACGATTGTAAAATCGGATTTCAGTATTCAGGGTCACTGAAGCCACTTAGCTCTCCACGCGTATTACGAATGATGCTAGAGACTACAGTTGTCCAGCTAATTAATGGTTGAAAGTATTACAACTTCAATAATTTTTTTCTTGGAAACTATATAGATGTTACAAAAAAATGTTCTACGATTTTGGTTCCATTTCTCATGCCGTATTTTTTTTGGATAAGTTGTGAATCATCCTGTATACAAGAAGTTTAACCACTCTTCGTAACTTTTTAGACTGATTTTAATGAACTTTGTTTACGTCTGTATTATCATTTCTGTTTTTTAATGACACAGCTTCAAAAAAAATTATACAGAACAAAAAACGGCTATTTTCCAGGAAAAGGAGGGAAAAATTGATCTCTTGTTTAAACCTCGAAGCTGTCCGGTATAAAAGAACGTCGAATAAAACTGTATTTCCTTTACAGGATTCTCATACTCAGTTCATGTCTGAGACCGGATCGACGACTGGCGGAAGAGAAAAGATGTTGAGCCAGCTCGCTTCCGCCCACGATATTTTCAGAGACCTCCAGAATAACTTGAAGGAGGGCACAAAGTTCTACAATGATCTAACTCAAGTGAGTAAGATTTCATCGCAACAAGACGTTTTTTAAAGGAAAACTGTTTGTAGATGCTGGTCACCTTCCAAAATAAAGTGACGGACTTCTGCTTCGCCAGAAAAACCGAGAAGGAGGAGCTGCTCAAAGACCTCACGCAAGCGTCCAGCAGGTCGGGTCCGGCTCCAACTCCTACCACCCCCAGCTATTACGGTACAGGTAAGAAGTGAAAGGAACTTTGGATTGTTTTTCCCATTCCCAAAAAAGATATAAAAAAATTAGTTCAGGTGTCCCAGGCTTGTTTTTTGGGAAAAGTTAAATAGTGAAAACCACACCTCGATATCTTGATTGCATAATTTACATTTCAAAAAACTCTTCGTTTCGGCCGTTTGTCACTTTAAGATCAAAAGTTTTCAAAACTTAACTTTTGAAATTTATTTACGAATTTTAGAAGAACGAATTAGATCATTTTTAGATGTGGAGCCCTTTATTTCAGCATGATGGAGCTCACTTTCCGCTTCGTAATAACTTAATTAACTTATTAACTTAATAGGAAATCACAGGCCAATTCAATGGCCACCACGATCCCCTGATTTATCCCCATTCGCCTATAGTGTTATAATTCCAGGTAGGAGTTGCAGCAAACAGTGTTGCAGGTTTTTTTATCTGTACTCCACATAGAATTGATGAATAATGCCAATCATGTAAAACTAATGGAGAATAGGATGAAACACAATTTGAACACTTTTCATAGTGAGCCTTTTTTGTGAAACATTTTCAGTTGCTCTAAATTTATTCGGTAAATATTAAAATTAATGTTTTAAAGATTGGTGGTTGCCTTTATAGCGAACGGCTTTCACTATTTTTTTTCACTGTAAGTTTAATAATTAAAGAAATTGTTTTGACTAATTTTTTTTTAATTTTTGTCTTAAATACTATGTGGTGTACATCATTTGAAAGGAATTTTGTGCAGATTTTAAAAAAACAAAGTTTGGGTTGTAACAAAAAACTGGAAAAAAAAATACAACGTAAGAAGATTCGACATTAAAAAGATATAGAACATCAAAGAAAATGGACAAAATTGAAAGTTGTCTTGTATTTTTTAAAAGTATGTAGTCCATCTTTTAAGGAAATAGGAGCAACCCCCGAAATGTGTCAAATTTGGCCCACCCTGTACAAAAATTGGGAAAATATCAATAAAAATCTTTATTTTACAATTTTGAAAGGTTGCACACAAGCCCATTAGGCATTTACCTTTTGAATCAGTTTGTTACTTTTTTTAGAGCCAAAGAGGGAGGCGCCCGCAGCGCCAACCCCGTCTACACCTTCTGTCCCGAATCCCACTGCGCAAGTACCGACAACACTGCCTTATCCAGTATATGTGCAGGGGATGCCCGTGCCATTTGGAGCTTCCAGCAGCGCTCCGTACCCAGCGTACGCTCCTCCGCCGATGCCGCAGGGTTACAACCCGTACGGTACTATGCCTTACCCAAGTAAGTTTATCGTTTGTCGATGATTACCGCCACTACTAAACTATCTTTTACTAATTACTTTTCTATATACAGGCTGATTTTTAAGTTGAGACATTTTTTGTGTTCCGTTTTAAGTCAAGTTCTGTCCTATGCTGTGTACAAAAGACGAAAACAATGATTCACATTTTTATTTGCCGATACATATAAATTTTGTTGCGCCTGTTGTGATTTGTACCCAAATTACTGCAATGGCTCGTACTTATTAGGCCGGTCAAAATGTCGAAAATACCTCATTTTTTAGTTCAGTAAACAAAGGTGCAAAAATTTGGAAAAATTCCATAAAATTGAATGAACTATTTTACCGCAGCGGTGTGTTAGGGCTTCATTTTCAAAGTGGCGTCCAAAGTTCGCAAAAAACAGTTTTTTTTTATTTAAAAAAAAACTAAACATTTTAGAGAAAAATGTTGTAGACAAAAGTTGTAGAACTTTTTATAACAACAATTTTGAGCCGAGCCCGATGACACTTGATAAACAATAATTGTATTAGTTGTACGCGGGAGCGCAAATGGCTCCATCTGTTGTGCTGACTCCCAACTGTGCCATTCAAATGGCTACAGTAGGAAGCGACCTGCTATATTGCAGGTACTTGTTGCCACCCACAGAGGGCGAAGACAATGTTTTAATTGTCAGTGTTGCGAGAAACAACTACTCCATGGGCTATATGCCCCTACCGGCATTGAATTATACTCACAACACCTAGTGCAACAGCTGGGGTCGTTCGTCAGTTTAACCCACCAGGCACAGACCGGTTTCGGACTTATTAGTCCTCATCAGTGTGTCATAGGTGAGACAACCGACGAACGAACCAGCAGTTTTGCGTCGTATCGTCACGACAAGGAAACACATTGTACACAAATGGCTCCATCTGTCGTGCTGACTCCCAACTGTGCCATTCAAATGGCTACAGTAGGAAGCGACCTGCTATATTGCAGGTACTTGTTGCCACCCACAGAGGGCGAAGACAATGTTTTAATTGTCAGTGTTGCGAGAAACAACTACTCCATGGGCTATATGCCCCTACCGGCATTGAATTATACTCACAACACCTAGTGCAACAGCTGGGGTCGTTCGTCAGTTTAACCCACCAGGCACAGACCGGTTTCGGACTTATTAGTCCTCATCAGTGTGTCATAGGTGAGACAACCGACGAACGAACCAGC